ACATAATGAGGTATGTAGGATGTAAAGCCACACCTTTACAACATTAATGTCAAATTGCATGGTTGGTTCACTGAACATGATGGCCTTTGTTGCTGCTGTAATGATTTTCTTCCAAATTTGCTTTTCTGGTAAGTTCTAATTTTGATATTGAAAACTTAGAATTTTTTTAGGTGCAAGTATCTTCACTATTGTATCAGTGACACAATATGTATATGTCAATGATACTGTGACATTTGAATGTGCTACTAATGTGACTCATTATCATCCCTCTTTTGTGACTAATCCATCAGTTAATAGTTCAGTATCCTTAGGCTCTGCTGGAATGGCATCACTCAGCCTAACAGCAACAAGTGAATTAAATGGTACAGAAGTTACCTGCCATGCACCCAATGGAACTACCACTGAACCAGCATATCTATATGTACAAGGTCAGTATAGTGTTGATTAATGAAGTGACTGCACTCAAGCATTCATCAAGTCTGTATTATTGTTACACTTTTACTTGTACATCATTTGTATCAACTAGTCAATTGAACAATTTTTGTTATCATTCCCAGGTCCACCTGATAGTGTCAGTAGTTTAACAGGATATCAGTTAGATTCTTGTTGTATGTTTATCAGTTGGTATCCTCCATTCACACTACCAGGACTAACAGTACAGTATATAATCAGTGTAGGAACTGATCAACAGTACCTTAATGACTCTATCACTAACTACACTTACTGTCCAATGAGCCCAACCAATAAACAATATCTGTTTAACATTACAACTACTAATAAAGCTGGGAATGGATCTACTAGTAACATAACTGTTGGATTTGAATCAACAAGTAAGTAATTATGCTTATTGAGAGCCTAAAGTGATTATTCTATACAGTAGATGTAGAGTTATATGTAACTGATAAGGAAAGAGGGAATGTAAATTGGACTTTTCATTTCATTGTATCTGTAAGTTTCCCTAATAGGATTAATCATAGCCAGCTATGATAACTTTATAGTAATAGTGAATAGTAGTGTTAAATGATGAAAGACAGACTATAGTATTATAATGTATTATAGGTAATGTGTAATAAATGTACCATGTATTATAATGTATAGTCTATATTGTACTTAATAATGATATCCCATGGTGTGTTTACTGTGTTGTGATTACCTGCTTAAAACAACATGGCTATGTATTCTTTTTAGGTTCATCAGTTTTGTACTAATGTACCACCACTAATGAACATTACATTGAAAGGGTGTACTAAGGATAACTGTTATTCAACAACAAATGTATCCATAAGCAATAGTTCTTATAATAACATTTCACTTGTTGTTCAATTTCCATCAAATAAGACACTGAATACTAATGCTACCTTTTACTATCAAAATGGAGTTACAGTTCAAAGCAACACTATAACAATCAGTAAGTAATACACAATTAATACATTATGATATTTACTTATTTTAAGGTACTCATGACCTGAACTTGACATTGATTAATGTTACATCAAAATCTGTTTGTGTTCAGTTTCAGTTTGTCAATGGCAGTACACTTTATATTGATTACATTCACATTATTGATAGTCAAGGCCAGTTTCATTGGGATGACCACAAACCTTTTAATGATTCATTGAACTTTATCAAGTGTTTTGATGGCATACCAGCTGGTAATAACTTAACACTGCATGCATGTGAATTTGAAACCTTTTATGAGAACTGTATATCTAATCCTCCTGCTGTAATAACTGGTATTAATATTACTAGTGACTTTACATCTTCAGTTTTAATGTCATCAGTTCATTCATCATCAGTATCACTCACATCAACAGTATTGACTACTCCATCAATGATGTCTGTACCATCTACTTTGTCAGTATCAGCTGCTTCATCAAATCTAACAACTGTGACAGTTACAACTGCTTCTTCATCGTACACTACTTTATCAACTACTTCATCATCTACTTCAAGTACTTCATCAGTACTAACTACATCAACAATTCTGACTACTTCATTAATTACATCGCCAGTTTCAACTACTACACTAGTACCAACAACTTCATCGACTACTTCTACAGTACAACCATTCACTACAACTACAAGTAGCTCCATCACTAGCAGTACTACAGATACTCCTATGATAAGTAGTTCTACATTTATTGCTACTTCAAAATTTAATGGTATATTAATGAATTCATTTTGTGTAGGTATAATGTACTTTACTATCAATTTGTAGGTACTTCAACTGCTTCATCTCCACTATCTTCATCCATTACTTCACAAAGTTCTTCATTCATAACTTCTTCTTCAGCCCCAACTCCTTCATTGGCAGCTCCTTCATTGGCAGCTCCTTCATTGGCAGCTCCTTCATCAGTATCTTCTTCATCTATTATTGTTCTGGCTTCTGGGATATCAATTGCACTACTAATTATAATAATTGGTATGTACATTATAATCAAATGTTGTCATTAATATGTACATTGTAGTTGTTATAGTAATTGTAGTGGTAGCAGCAACAGTTCGATTTAAAAAGAGAAGAGGAAGAATGGAAGTGATTAATGACGTTACATTACTGAAGAGGAATGAAAATAATAATCAAAGTACTGTAATTTATTTATTCATTTATAAACAAGGTTTACTTATAGGTTCACAAGAGCAAGAACTATCATCAGTTAATCCACAGAATGAAAATGTACATCAACCAGTTCCACAATCAGAACTATCAATGAAAGAATGTGCTGCTTATGGTGTAGTGGAAGGTACTAGATTCCCACAGTATGAGACTGTAGATCTACCAGCTCCACAGTCAGAGGGAGACTATGAACTACCAGTAAAAGAATGTGCTGCTTATGGTGTAGTAGAGAGTGCTGGGTTCCCACAGTATGAGACTGTAACATTAACAGTTCCTCAGTCTGAACTATCAATGGAAGAGTGTGCTGCTTATGGTGTAGTAGAGGGTAATAGACTTTAGAGTTAGTGTGTGTACTGGACTGGATTTGGTAAATTTTAACAATTAAAAATTTTTCATTCAAAAAATTTAATACCATTGTAAACATTACTATATATGGTTAGTTTCCACATAGAATAGTAATATAAGAGGAAGTCAAAATGAAGTACTTATTGAT